TCTAAAGATCTTTTGGTGAATTTTACTTGTTGCAACTCTGTGGTGAAATGTTTTGTATGGCATCATGGGGAATGTAGCTATTGTGGTATTAAACACTTGTATATAGATGGGTTCAACAAAAATAAATACAACTGACTACATCCATGTTGTTAAAGTAATGCTTAAAGCATACCTTTCAACACTTCTGTTTTTCCCTGAAGTCTTCCCTGAAGTATTTTAGATGCATCTCCCGCCACCCTCCCATTTTGTTATTTCTCTTGGAAAACTCCACCGGGTCACAAACTTTGGTATAGTATTCGATTGCAGCATCTGCTCGAAACCCCCTCCATAGTACAGTGACCGCTCCATTACCACAGTACAGTTACTTACCCGGTTCTCAACAGTGATATTCAGACATCTCACCCCCAACCCCACTTACTCCTAAAGAATTAAACATGACTGTTCAATAGCATGTGTTTCTTAAGGGTGTTTTGCCGGTAAATATGAAATTTCCTTCTGCCATTTTGTAGGACCTGGACCAGTGCAGGATGGACTAGTTATGGATTTAGTATTCATTACTATAATGACATGAACTTACTGCATTGGAAAATATAACACTGAGGCCATCTCAGAACTAGGAAATCTGTATAATCAGAGAGAGAGAGAGAGAGAGAGAGAGAGACCCCAAGTCTCCACTTAGGGACCCTTTGAACTGTTTTGCATTTAATAATTCGCACACACAAGTTTACAACAAGTGCATGTTCCCCTTTATGGAAGAGCACCTCAAGGCCAGAGTGTTATACATATTCATAAATCATTTCAGGTCAGCATGAGTTTCGTAATGTGGGGCCCTCAGTAGGGGACCACCAATTACATAAAGAGAGTGACAGGTGCACTGTGGTGGTCTCTGGCTTTCAATTATTATGAAAGCACATTTCCATTACAAGAACTCGCATATGACTTGGTGAGTAAAGCTGGGAGATTATGCAGACTATTATTAACTATTATGAAAAGAGGAAAAAAAAAAAGTTTGATCTCTTCTCCAAAAATCTTGCGAGATGTCTTCGACTACATTGATGCCTTGTAAGAAAGTGAAAAGAAACTTTAAAAACTGCCGATACAAAATGCTTATAACGGAGTTTGGCATTTGTGTGTGGCTGAGACTATGGATAACGTAGCTTTAACACTTGTATTTATATTTTAGTTTGCAAACATTTCGGACAAAAAAATTAGACTCCAAATGCAATGAATGTTGCTGCTTTCGGCATTTTCCCCATTGAAAGTACTAGAGGATGTTTTTCTTACACAAACCACTTCTGAACAGAAGCATTAGCATCTTTCTTTGTGCATCACACAAAGACTCCACCGACTAGGGCACAGGTGTCAAACTCAGTTCCAAAAGGGCCGCAGCTCTGCACAGTTTAGTTCTAACCCTAATTAAACACACCTGATCAAACTAATTGAGTCCTTCAGGCTTGTTTGAAACCTACAGGTAAGTGTGTTGGAGCAGCTTTGGAACTAAACTGTGCAGGGCTTTGGCCCTCCAGGAATTGAGTTTGACACCCCTGGACTAGGGCAATATATCACAAAATTATCATTATTGCAATCATTATTGCAGTAATACAGTAATATTTACAATATATGCATCACAGAAATGTAATAAATAAAATGTATTTTATACGTTAGTTATTTAAATTTGTCTTACTATCTGCATCCCCACTTAATGAACATAGAGGAAAATGACAACAGCCAATCAGAATAGCTGCTGTTATTCTAATGCCATCAAATAAACACATGATTTAACAACATAGCTAAAAAGAATGGCATTTTTTAGAGAGGCATATTTTTTTAATATGATTATCGTAATAATCAACAATAAAAATCAAATATCGTATTTTTTTTCTTTATTATCGTGCTGCCGTAACCCAGACAGACTTAAAATGCTTCCCACTTTCTGAGAATCAGTGATCTAAATGTTGTTTTGGGAAAAGTGGATGTAGTATTTGGTGTATAAATGGTATTTTCTTGTAAAACCGATAATTCTATTATAACTTTTATGCAGACTCTTGGTTGGAATTGCGTCTCACTGGGTTTTTCAGTCAGATGGTGATACGTGGATCTACCTACTAAAGCACACAAGCTTATAAAACGAGGATTTGACTGCCATAAATCCAAGAATTCTCTCTTTGTTGTCAGCAGGTGACAGTGCCATATATCTGTCCCCAATCCCATCATGCTAACAGATGGCGTCTGCTCTGACTATCGCTGTGCGTATGTGCACGTGCACGCTTATATTTTCTTTTTTTTTCCCCACATATGCACCAACCTCATATCCTGTGTGTTTGGCCGCAGATCCAAATACGGTCTTCCGGTTGAGTGATTGACAGTCACATACAATGCATACTGTTCATGCCATGCCATGGATGTCACGGTCAGAGCTATCTATAAGCTAGACATTTAGGAAGATTCAGTCGTGATTCATTGGAGCTTTTTATCTGGCAGCCGCTGGCAATCATCCGTGTATTATTTACAGTCAAGGTCATATATATCATTTGATCCAAGATTATGTAAAGAGAGATTGCAAATGAAAAGAGCGCATCACAAAGCACACGTAAATGTGCCACATTTAACTATAACTGCATGTCTATTTTGAGATTTGATTTATGAACAGGTATTTTAGATTCTTATTTCTAGACCTTATACTTCTAAATAGTGGTGTAATGCTTACAGTAAAGGTTTCATTTAAACAAAACTGTTTTATTTAAGAGTTTGGTCACCAAATATCATTAGGAATAGGAAGATAAGATTAGCTAACACTGTATGGAGCTGAATGCTGGCCAATCACGAAGACGTCTCGCTGTGATGGAAACGAAAATGCTGCGATGGATCAGCGGAATCACCCGTTTTGATCATGTTTGCAATGATGACATCCGACAGTGATATGGTGTAGCACCAATCAGAGACAAAATGCAAGAAGCCCGCCTTCGGTGGTATGGCCATGCACTACGTGCAAGCGAATACTCTTTTGCGAAGACCGGCCTCAACATTAATGTCGAAGGAAAACGTCCGAAAGGTCTTCCAAAGCAGCGATGGCTTGATACTCTACATGCTGAACTTGTCGCCGCACAACTTCATCCTGACCAAGCCTTAAACCACGACAAATTGAGGACTTGTTCCAAAAGAGCCGACCCCGCAACCATACGGGACTAAGGCTAAAGAAGAAGAAGAAAGATAACATATTTAATTGCCTTGTGTGCTGCTAGGCATACTTTCATCCACTCTGGGGTAATTTTGAGTCTTAATTTGGCCACAACTTATTTTTTGGTGACAATTTTTATTTTTATGCACATATTTTGGATAAATGAAAAGGAAAAGGAAAAAAAAAACAACAACAATACTGTCTGAAACAAGTTGTACATTTCACCTCTGAAATGGTCAAGATGATCTGCTGCAGTTCAAACCGAGCATCAGAATGGGGAAGACAGGTGATTAAAGTGACTTTGAATGTGGCATGGTTGTTGGTGCCAGACGGGCTGGTCTGCACAACCATCTCTAGGGTTTACAGAGAATGATCAGAAAAATATCCAATGAGTGGCAGTTCTGTTGTTGCAAATGCCTTGTTGATGACAGAGGTCAGCGGAGAATGGCCAGACTGCTGGTTCCAGCTGTTGGAAGGGTAGCAGTAACTCAAGTAACCACCTATTACAACCGAGGTATGCAGAAGTACGGAGACCCAAAAGGGACATGATGGTGGGGAAAATAAATGGGTGGAAAAAAAAAAAAAACTGAGTGATAGGAAAATATATTTTTTAAGTTCCCTCGCAAAACTGTTGTTCCACAAACACTTCCTGTCCACTACATACAACCCTCCCATTTTTGCCAGGATTCTAGCGTATTTCACCATTCTATGCCACTATCATCCTATCATTAAGTATTTTCCCATATTTTTAATCTTGAAAGCACATTGAAATGAATATAAAAATGTCTGCATTCACATTCCATTAACGCTGTGTGTCGATCATTGCCCTTCCTATGCAACCTCTGAATCAGTGAATTCATGTATAAGCGCAGTGACGGACGCACTCCGTATGATAAACTGATCCCAGATCAGCTTCTGTACACGCCATTTAAAGTGACACCTCTGTTATCAAACAAGTGAAGAGCAGCAAATGAATCTCTCGTTTTGTTTTGTTTGACAACAGAGGTGTCACTTTAAGGATGCACAGATCTACGATGCAAGCATTTGATTACTTTAGTAACTGTTTGTGCTCATTTAAGAGAGAATCAGTTGTGTTTAAAATAAAACATGCAGAACGGACATGTTTACATGTTATTAAGTGTATTTGTCTGTTTGAACACGCACCCGAATCCCAAAGCGTCCTGCACTTTAGCTCCTCTTTAAATGCCGTGTACAGAAGCTAATGCGCGGTCCGTGTCTGTCATTCAGTGCTTATTCACTGATTCAGAGTTTGCATATGAAGAGTGATGATCGACACAGCTTTAATTAATAGAAAGTGAATGCAGACATTTTTATAATGATTTCAATGTGCTTCCAAGATAAAAAAGGGAAAATATTTAATGATAGGATGATAGTGGGATAAACAGGAGGGTTGACATGAAGTGAACGCCAAACTGTAGAGTTCAGTTAGAGCAGCTGAGACCGCTAGTGTTATTGCGGTAGAAAGCTCTTGGAGCAGCTCATTAAGTTTTGATGTTTAGTGAGGGTAACCCTGCTTTCAGGACACACAGTGAGCTGCTGAGCGGCACAGAGGGCACACTCTGATGCTTTAGGTCTGTTCTTGCTCCGGGCCGCAGCGCCACCAGCTCCTCTCCTCTAATGCATCTCTGAACATGATCTGCAGATACGCCTTCACTCATTTCATTTGGCAGAGTGCTGAGTCCGGGACGACAAGGGACCCGCTCTCACTTTCATTACCCATGATTACATCTGCCATTTGGGGTCACTGGAGCCCTGAATGACAGACATGTGTGTGTGTGTGTGTGTGTTTGTGGAGCTTCACCTGAGTGTGGTGGCTGTCCATGTGCCTGTGTAACGTTGAGGAGCTGGATGCCATAGGCTTTGGGTGTCCCTCGTCTTCCAGAGTTCCTATTGCAAAAGAAGAAATTAAGAGTTTGTATGAGTGTTACAAGCTGTTTGTACATACAGTTGAAGTCAGAATTATTAGCCCCCCTTTGATTTTTTTTATTTATTTATTTATTTTTCCCATAATTCCCAAATGATGTTTAACAGAGCAAGGAAATTTTCAAAGTATGTCTGATATTTTTTTTTCATCTGGAGAAAGTCTTATTTGTTTTATATCGGCTAAAATAAAAGCATTTTTTAATTTTTTAAACACCATTTTAAGGTCAAAATTATTAGCCCCTTTAAGCTATATTTATCTTGATAGTCTACAAAACAAACTATCGTTATACAATAACTTGCCTAATTACTCTAACCTGCCTAGTTAACCTAATTAACCTGGTTAAGCCTTTAAATGTCACTTTAAGGTGTATAGAAGTGTCTTGAAAAATATCTAGTCAAATATTATTTACTGTCATCATGGCAAATATAAAACAAATCAGTTTCAGAAATGAGCTATTAAAACTGTTGTTAAAAGTCAAAAGTTTGACGAAGTCAAAAGTTTGACGAAGTCAAAATTATTAAACCTATGAAATTTCCATTCTCTTTCAAAAATTTTACAAGTGATGTTTATGGGGCAAGGGCATTTTCACCATATTAGCTATATTATTTTTTTTGTTTGTTTTAGTTTGGCTGGAATAAAATATTTATTCTTTATAAACCATTTTTAAGGTAAAAATTATTAGCTCCCTTGAGATTTTTTTTTTTTTTTTTGATTAGCTACAGAACAAACCACTGTTGTTTAATGACATGCGTAATTGACCCAACTTGCCTAGTAAACAAAATTAACCTAATTAAGCCTTTAAATGTCTCTTTAAGCTGAATACTAGTATCTTACAAAATAACTAGTAAAGTTTTATGTGTTGCCTACATGGCAAGGACAAAAGAAATGAGTTATTAGAAACAAGTTATTAAAACTATTATGTTTAACGATGTGTTGAAAAGCAAAGATCTCCATTAAACAGCACTTGGTAAATATTTTTAAAATAACTATATATTTTTTTTTTACAGGAAAAAAGTTTTACAGGAGGATTAATCATTTTGACTTGTATAAGGGTTGTATAAGTTCTGTAAAATTCTCAAAGAGATATATTTTTTAAATTATTGTCCACAACCTCCTGAAATATCTCATTCCAACATGCCCTCACACATCTATGTCAGTCATTGAGATTGTCAAAACACTATGTACATACAAAAAAGCTGTAGCTTGCTTGTATTGCTGCTTTAGTCTCTTTCATTGTAAAAGCAAAACAACTTAATCTTGTATGTAAAATACAACGAATCGAATCGAATAGCTTGGTAATCTGCATTTCCCGGATCTGATTTAGCCTGAAATTCTAAAGGTTGCAAAGGCGTAACATTTCCGTCACACGCTTCAAGTATCGATCAATCAAAGTGCAGTGGATGGCTGGCCAATCAGAGAAGATCACGCTTTTCAAAACGATAAATTGTCAAAACTGGCATGTTTCAGAAATGTTGAAATAATGTTTAAAGTGTACCCAAATATTATTTTGAGTATATGTGCAGTAGGGGTGTTAAAATATTTTTTTTTATTCAGTGCACCTCGACACAGCTACAGACAGTTTGATATTGGTTAAGTAATAATCATAATAATGATGCAGAAACTGTGCACAATTTCACACAATTTGACACTTACAGCAGAAGCCCCTGCTTCACTGCGATTGACAAAATGAAATTAAACTTAATTTCTCTCTCTCACTGTGGCCCATTTGACCTGCTGGCATGACTATTCCTCTCCTTTCGATAGTTACTTCTGTATACAGACATGAGCGCATGTTTGCAGAGGGAGTCCCCCGCGTCTATCAGGGATCCGCTGTGATTGCCTCTGTCATTTATCAGTGTCACTCATAGGTGAACAGTGCCAGTGTGTTAGAGCCAATCGCAGTTCTTTCTGTTGAGCTCGAGACCAAAAAAAAAGGGTGTAAGAAAGAACTCAAGAAAGAAAGCTCAAAGCGCGTGGGATATTAACATTTGTGGGATATTAACATTTGCTGTTCTGTGCATGTACTTGAGTTTTTAAAGGCACAGTTTATATGTCTGACTGTTTGTATTAAAGGACAAAATAGTATTACAAATAATATATTGATATATTCATACATTTTAATACAAGAATTGCTGTGCTGTAAAAAAAAATATAAAACTGCATATGGAAAATATCGTCAATGCACCGTGATGCATCAAGATATTGAATTGAACCGAATCGATTGCATGATGATCGTAACCGAACCGCGAGACTAGTGTAGGTTCACAACTCTAAAGTGCAGCATTGTTAATAATTCAAATTAGTTTTTCATTTCATATTTAAAATGATATAACCATTTAATTCTGAGATTTAATTTTAAGAATTCAAGTTAAACAGCCCATGTGAAATCTAAATGTACAATGTTTATTTTGCTAGAGCACATTGCTAGTGTAAACAATTCATCTGCTCAAGTAAATCCATTGAAAGAAAAAAAAAGTTTGTTTTTGATAATCTTCAATCAAAGTCTGACCATTTTCTTCCATGTTTGGAGTGCTGGCCCTACTCTGATGATGTCAGATTTGACAGCTTTAACCACAATATTCTTACTCGCACTCCTTTTAATTCACTACAAGTGAATGATGCGCACAGTTAAAATCCTGCCCTACAAAATATTCTGGTTCAGTTTAAAGTACATCAACATACTGAAATAAAAGAAATAAAAACAATTTATAGTTTTCAAAACATATGTCAATAAATTGTGTATAAAGTCTGCATGAATTGTTCGAGAATATTAAGACTTGGTTTTAAATCATATACATCACAACCTGAGGTACGTAAATCTTTAACACTTCTCTTTTGCTTCCCTGCGAGCACTAGTATTTTCTCCAGGAAAGAGCACATATAGTTCTTATACCGTTATCTTTAAGATGCAGGCATGTAATGGCTGAGCGTTCAGGTCACTGCGGGCTGTTTAACACTTCCACCCACTCTCTGCTTCAGCCCCTCATGTGGAATATGAACATTAATCCCCCACACACATATATTAACCTCACTGAGAGGACAAAAGGCCAGCAGAGCGAGAGTGTGTGTATTTGTGTGGGGAGGCAGAGAGACCCTGAGCATCCGACGGCTCTTTAAAGAGAGAACAATATTAAGTCTAGCACCATTCCTTTCAGAAAAAAAAGTTTTTTTTTTTTTTTTCATGCACCTGTCAGTTTTGAGATTTTGTGCCATCTCCAGTGGGGTTTTGTTTTTTCAGGTCAATGAAAGAAAACATTTTAGCGTTTCTTTTATAACATTTTAACAGTTTGTGTCGATAGATTTTAATGTCATTGTGGATTTTAAAAAGCAGTTTTCTCAACATGGCTGTACTGAGCCATAAAATAAATAATAAGAATTAGGGCTGCACAATATATCGATTTAGCATCGATATTAGAATGTGTGAATCTGCAACTGTCACACCACAGAATCTGCAATGTCTAATTGGGATTAAAATCATCTAAGAATCACCTTTCAGAATATGTGATTTGTGGAGTCACTAAAAAGTTTAGGGATTTAAGAAAATTTAAACCATTTAGGCACTTTAACAGTCGTATTTAATGATTTATACAATGAAGACTATGCAGTGTTATTTCATATGTAATTATTGAATTTCTGTACCCAGATACTCAACAGAAAACCCCTTTAATTTACTTCACTTTTATCTGTGCTTTATTCTATGCATATGATTTAGTGTGTTTATTGTACTTTAATAACATGCAGTGCCCTACAAAATCATCATAAACAATCTAAAATAATGAATTCTTTCCAAATAGAGCTGTTTAAGGCATCAGGGGAAATTATATTCATATCGCAATTTGTACATCCCTGCAGAACAAAATATAACAATGTCAGATTTTTCCAGTATCAAGCAGTCCTATTAATAATAATAATAATAATAATAATAATAACATGACTTTACCTAGAGTTCAGATTTTTGTTATTGGCTGTCATTCGTATTTATTTTGGTTAACAAACCTTGGGGCAAGGCTGAGGCATCAGTGACCTGAAACTGAGTTTGAATAATTGGGTGGATAAACATCTGGACAAACACTGACCAATGCCCTTTTTGTGTTTTGATATGTGTGGGTGTTGATCTGACACTTTCATTCATTTTCTTTTTCGGCTTAGTCTCTTTATTAATCTGGGGTCGCCACAGTGGAATAAACCGGCAACTAATCTAGCATATGTTTTTACGCAGAGGATGCCCTTCCAGCTGCAACCCATCACTGGGAAACATCCAGACACACTCATTTGCACACATACACTGTGGACAATTTAGCTTGCCCAATTCACCTGTACCGCATGTCTTTGGACTTGTGGGGGGAAACCAGAGCACCCAGAGGAAACCCATGCCAACATGGGGAGAACATGCAAACTACACTCAGAAATGCCAACTGACCCAGCCAAGGATCGAACCAGCGACCTTCTTGCTGTGAGGCGACAACACTACCCACTGCATCGCCCCCCTCACACTTATATCAGAATTATAATTGTTGTAGTAATGACAACAATAGTTGCTTAAAAACATTTCACGCAACATGAAACGCACACTACTGAATGTAATTAGCAGTGTAGGCTGATTCACAAACAGACGACTCATAGGAATAACAATATGCAATAGTTAACATTTGAAGTGGATCATATGTGTTTGTTTTAAATAAGACCCATTGTAATAATTAGCCTTAAGCCATCATGTGTGTCATTACCGTTGGAGATCTGGTTGCCATTCTCTATAGGTGCAGGGTTTGAGGAGTTGGGAGAGGTGTGGTTGTTGGCGTTTTTGTCCTGCAACTGTGCCGATGGGGAAATCGGGCCCTGATCCTCTCGACCTGGCAGGTTAATGTTGGAATTCGAGAGTCCTATGGAATAGAAGAGAATATAACCATTAAACAAAATACATTGATTCACATAAAGACAATATGTAAGCTGTGCTTCAGCCCCAACTGACCATCAAACTCTGACATCTGACTAGGGTTGGGCAATGTCGACCAATTTGGCATCGTACGATGTCTAATTTGAAACATCACGATGGACGATGGCATCGTTGTCATGTGAAAAGCGGGGGATGTTGGAGGTGTTGTTTGACAGAGTGGTCTCAATGTGAAGAGCGGGGAGGGATCCGGTGGTGAGGGGTGAGAAGTGTGCGTGACTTATTTGAGGACCGGGAGGGAGACGCGCGATTTCCGGGAGATTATCACTCGTTTGCGGGAACTTCCGGGAGACTTGGGATGTCTGAGTATCACATTTAACAACTATATTGAGACGCGATCCAACGGTACATCCTTGATAAACTGTCTAACTTGCACTGTACACTGGAGCTCAGGCGAGCGCATGACAGTGTGTGTGTGTAGTCACATGATTTGCTTTTTCAGCAGACGGAGGGCTGTTCAGAAATGGTAGGTAAAATGGTGTGAATGTGGATCATTTTCGTTCTAAAATATAATTTTAACACTAAGACGTATTTGACGTATTAGTCTAAACGGGGCCTAAGTGTGTATTTTTCGCGAGCGGGTTTGCGACAGGGGCTGGGTGGAGAACCGGCCATGCAGCTCAGCATCTGCTCATCGTTTTGTCTATTGGCCATCGGCAATGGACGATGGCATAGTCTATCAGCCCAACCCTATCTCTGACCTACACTGCCGGTCAAAGGTTTAGAATCAATATAAAATACAGTAAAAAAAAATTCAATTCAGAAAAAAGAACAAAAAAAATGTCATTTATATCTGTGATTTAAAGCTGAATTTTCAGTATTGTTACTCCAGTCTTCATTTTTGTGGAAATTGTGATATATTCTCTTTTCTTTGATTTCTCTTCAATAATGTAAACATACAATAATTTATTTAAAAATTACATATTTCTTTAAAATTGACACGTCCTCATGAATAAAAACTTGAACATGAATAAAAGTTCTCAGTGGTACTGTTTTCACTAAAATGAAGCATTCCATGACATAAAACATTGGGAATACATAAATTTTTAAACTACATTCAATAAAATACTATTCCTTTAAATTATAATATTATGTCACAATTTCTGTTTTTACTATATATATATATATATTATACAACAGTTGTCTGGTTCTCAAATCTGATTACCTGATAGGCGTGCAATTTTCTGCAATATCAGGACTTGTACAGCCTCTTCACCATTGTGTATTACTTTGCCCACATCATCATAAGTTATAGGAAGAGGAATAAGCTCACTTAGGAGTTATATAACCTATATACTATATGAGTTATATAACCTATAAAGTCCCTGTAAGATCACTAGTTTGACAAACATTGCAGCTGTTGGATAACATAATGTACTTTTGAGGCTTTTTAGGTGAGAATGTATTTGTTTAGATTAGTAAAAGAGATTTTTAAAACATATTAATGATCTCAGAGATATAGCACGTTAGCGGCCATCTGCAGGGCAAAGAAAATGATGGTTGATGTTCGCCATAAAATGGCAGCAAAGACTGCATAATAAGTCCTAAGGTAGAAAAACTCAGCTGAACAAATTATAAAACAGGTAAGTGACATTCTAAGTCTGTAAATAGGTCTAATCTTTCTCTTTTGTATGTTGTAGTGCTGTATTTATACCATAGTAATATGCTAGAGTTTGCTTTGCTTTGGCTTTTTCTGGGTTAATTGTTGTGATCTCCTGATTGCAACAGAGTAATACTGGGACATCTCTGTAGACTGATGGCATTTCATGCTGTTCAGCCTCATAATCTTAAAATGCGTTTTGTCGTCACTTAACACATTATCGCTAGAGAATCATTCAAATACTAGCTCTAAAGTGATGTATGAAGTAGCAAGTTTCTGCTGTTCTAACCATCAGTTGCAGATATGAATGAATGGCGGAAGAAAGTAGTTCCTTATACAAACATGCTTTTGTGACATTCTATGTTTGATTATCTTTTTTTATACACATGATTATGCTGTCAAACTGTTGTTTAAATGCAATATCACACTTGTAGCAGTGCCGTATGACTATAAATCATCAATGGTGGGGACAACACACGCCTCCCACCAGTGCCAATATACAGTCATATCGCACTGCTACTCATGTGCTATTGCTCATTTAACAAATCATTTACAAACAAATCACTCAAACAAATCTACCAGATCTCAAACTTTTGATCAGTAATGTCCATGTTCCTGTTCGGTGACGACGTGACATCATGTTCACACCTGCCACCTCAAGTCAATAATGTTTCTGCAGCTGCTGGGGTCAGGAATTGTGGGAATGATGGAGTCGTGTGGTGATGTTGACCGAAGCGCGGTGGATGTTTAAGCCTGTCGGTATGCAGGTCTGCTGGATCTGAGCGCCGCAGGGATGGATATAGCTCAGGGTGTGAGTGGCCGCTTTAAAGCCTTGTTTCCATTACAGACGCTCTCACTCATGTCCTGAGTGTCTGTGGTTGTCAGACATTCATTAACCACAGCTTTGTGTCTGGACTCCTGCTGACATGTATTTACTTGATGAAACTGTCACATTACACTACACAAGACATCAGCATTTTTGAGTAATCAGATGAGAGATGCTCTGGGCTAATTAAACACTTTTATTAGTTGAAAGTAGTAAAGAAAAAAAATACATATATTATTTATTTTGTTTTATTTTCCAATTTGTTTAAACTGACATAGGTTTACATATTTAGTTTTTTAACCTATTATGGTTATTGATTTACCATACATTTTCTTTATATAATAATAAAAATAACAACAACTATTATAATTTTCATTAGTAGAATTATTATTTATATTTGCAGAATTATAGTAATAATACTATAAATAATAATAAGTGTTTACACATTTTATCATATTGGTATACTACTACTATTACTCCTTCTACTACTACTAATAATAATGTAATTCTGGATTGATGTACAACAATGTATGTATTCCACAATAAGAATAATAATTAAGTAATATTTATCAAATAGGACAAATTAAATTAGAGAAAAAGTGCCACCATAAGAATGAAGATTTCTGTAAATTGATAAACTGACAATGTGAGGATTGAGCTGTTTTGTAAACCTCTTTTGAAATATTCCTCAAGCATGACACTTTCACAAGTATTATGACAGATTAATGTTTTGATCATTTCACAGACACACTCGTGCACATGTACAGCAATGAGAGAAGTAATTTCCTCTGCTCTGGAATGACACCGAGTGAGCCTTAAGACACGCACACACACATCCACGCATTACTCTGGGGATTTGCACACATAGCAGCGATTCACATCCGTCAGCAGACCTGGAGACTTTGATATTTAATATTTCATAGCTACATCATCTCTTGTCCATGTAATATTTATGTAGCTGGAGCTAATACCCCCTGTGCCCTTTACAATAAACCGAATCAAGACATTGACACACACTTTTTCTTCAGGATTTATGTAATGTTGAAGAAATACATTTTTTGTTGTTTTGTTTTGACATTTCTTAGTTTGTTAAATACACACACACACACACACACACACACACACACACACACACACACACACACACACATATATATATATATATATATGTGTGTGTGTGTGTGTGTAAATATATATATATATAAATTATATATATATAAATATATAAATGTGTGCATGTATGTGTGTGTATATATTTATTTATTAACAAACTAAGAACAAAACAACAACAAATGTATTTCTTCAACATAACTTAAATCCTGAATAAAAAAAAAAAAAAATGTGGTGTATAAAAGTGAATCTTATCTAAATATTCCCAATAGCCAGCATTAACCATTGGAAATAAGCAATTATTGTATAAAGTACAGGCACCCACTAATTAAAGATTATTGATTATGCCACCATAACATCTCAGATAATGCTTTTCAACATAAGACGGACACATCACAACATTGCAATCCTTTTTGGCACTCAAAGGAAAGTCTAAATCATTGAATTTATCTTTATTTTAGATCTATATATAGTTTAATCATGGTTGATGCAATTTGTCATAGTGGTTGGTAAGCTAATTGTATGGCTTATTAGTGATCTTGGCAAGAAGAACAAACCACAGACTGCTGATTGTCTGAAAATGTCTGACAGCTTAACAAATGGCTTTTATGCTGCCCTTTAGGTGCAAATAACCATACATGCAGACTAAGATTATTTAGACTAGAGTCGTCAGTTGCATTTTTGCGGAACAAAATGCAGCCTCTTACACAATTTACAGTAATTATTTTGCACATGTGGGTCAGGGTCATATGGGACCCGCGCTCATAAATCCATGATGGAAGTAGATGCAAGCTAAAGGGTCTTTAATTAAATACAAAGGTTAAGAGGCGGAGGCAATGGTGCCACACACACAATATCCTCTCTATGAACGCCTCCTCATCAAATTATCTTATTTTAATGTGACATTTAACTCTTGATCTTTTCCTTAAATGGTTATCTACTTAATATGCTTTATATATTAGTTTCTCCATGGGTGAATACCATTCCTGATCATTTTGCCTCTGTTTAGACCTTTAAGGGCAGTTGTTGAAGAAGGCCGCTGTGGTGTTGTAGCGCAATTCATCCAGAACAGATGTAAAATACAGCCTAAACCACCATCTAGCATAAACACTTTGTCTTCAGCTGAATGGGTATGTGAGAGAGAGTGCTGTGGCTTTTATGGTAAATGTCTGTTTTATCATCATTGACCTCACTGTTTTTGACAAACACAAAGCTTGGCACTGGATGAATCCAGAAAAACCAAACTAAACAGGATGTGCCTTTCAATAACCACTTATATGCTATGACATTTAACCAAAAGAGTGCTGGGAAACTTTCTATAATTCAACCAGACTATTTTAATTCTCCTGTAGCAAACTAAGCATGACCATGTGTGCTGGTTAGAACAAACTCCTTTTGAGCTATTAAAATATGTGATTCAAGACAATTCTGTGATTCATGTGTCTGGAGTGTGTAATACATATACATATGAATGACAGTACCTAATATTCATTTCTTTTTCGACTTAGTCCCTTTATTAATCTGAGGTCACCACAGTGGAATGAACCGCCAACTTGTCCAGCATATGTTTTTACGCAGCGGATGTTCTTCCAGCCCATCACTGAGAAACATCCATACACACTAATTCACACACACACACTCATACACTACGGCCAATTTTAGCATACCCAATTTACCTGTACCACATGTCTTTGGACTTGTGGGGGAAACCGGAGCACCCAAAGGAAACCCAAATGAACACAGGGAGAACATGCAAACGCCACACATAAATGCCAACTGACCCAGCCGAGGCTCGAACCAGTGACCTTCTTGCTGTGAGGCAAATAATGCTACCCACAGCGCCACAGCGTTGCCCTTTACCTACTTTTTGGGAGTAAAACACTTTCTTGTATGCCAGCTTGCTATGCCTATAGACAACTGCAAGCATTGTGCAGATATTGTTGCTTTGTGGTGCTTTTAACATTGCTTTGCTTGCCTTAGTGGCTGAACTACATGGGAAGTGTCTAATAACCGTTGCCACAAACAGCACTGGAGTTACAACACCTTTAATATACATTGCACCTAAAGGTACAGGCTTTCACTCACCGCTGTCTCTGATCTTTCTTCCTGTGGTGGACTTGCGGAGAAGGCTGCGCCCAGAGCTGAAAATAGTGTTCAGCTCATCAAGAGGGCTGGTGAGGGGTCTCCCATTGGCAGGGTTGAAGAGGAGCGGGGAAGAGGAGCAGGAGTGAGCTCTGCGGGGCTCTGGCCGCGACGTCTTTACTGGGGAGAAGGGAGGCTTAGAACTGCTTGGGGGTGTCTCTGCCAGACCGTGCCCCATTTTATGTGAGACTTTGGGGGATTCTGTGCTAGCCACAGAAGCTGCACGAGTCAGGGCCAAGAAGTTCGGCTCAGGGGGGAAGGGGAAGTGAGAAGGGGGGCGGTAGGGAGGTGGAAGTACTGCTGGAGGAGGAGGGGGAGGAGGAGTCAATGGTGGCGTGGACTTGTCTGGCATCAGGATGGAAAGACTTGGGGAAGAGTCAGCCCTTTGTCGGGTGTACTGGGGGGACAGTGGGCTGCCCCCATCTTGACTGCTGTAGTTGAGATTGGTCTCAAACACTGGCAACTTTTTCACCTCAAGAGGGGTAAGAGGGGACTCATCTGATGCAGGAGAGCAGGTCACAGGAGATGGAGGGAAGACCAGAAGTGGTGGACGGTGTGGAAGGAGGTTGGGGAATGGAGCTGGGATGTCACATGGCATCCCATCCTTGCCCTGCTGCTTTCCTCCAAGTGTGCCTGACTGCTCAATCAGGGTCACAGGCCTCTTAATTTCTAGCACTGGGGCAGGTAGTGGAGTGGGATTGACGGCTTCAGGCTTCACCACTGGAGTTGACACTATCTCGTCATTTGGGAAGTATTTCATCTCTTCGTAAACTGCCTCGCCTGGTTCTGGGCTATGAGTGTCGGCGAGACTAAGGGCCCGTGAAGCCCCTACCATCTCAATATACACATCCTCCTCATCCTGGCAGGGGTAGAGACTAAGCACAGAAGAATGGGGGCCATCTGCAGATGCTGCTCGCTGGATAAGCCCCAAGCAGTGGCCGCCTCGTACAAGGCTGACGAGTTTCATGTCAGTGGGGCGTGCAGGGGAGGGTACAGAGATCTCCTCATAGGAACCTGTTAGTTTGGTATTAGGGCTGCGTTTGGGTTTAGGGGGTGGGATCTTCTTCATGGTGCTGTAGTCATCACTGTGAGGGCGTGGTTTAGCTAGAGCTAGAGGCGTTGTTGGATGATGGATGGGTTAGAAAGGAAAGAGAAAAAAATCAATTTACTCAAATGCCAAGAACAGCACTGAATATTGAGATCGGTGAAAACATTTTTTCTTTGTTTAACAAAATGTTCACCACAGGGCCAAAAGTATGTGGTCATCTGAACATCACAATTAATTAAAAAGTATATACATTAGTTCCTCCTAAGAGCATCAAATCTTCTGCAATTTCTTTTCCTTAAGATGCAGGAATGGATTGCCTCAGTTAGGGCTTCAGTTAATTATTACAGGTCAGTACGTACTTTCTACTTGTAGAGGTCTCCACATACTTTTAGCCTTGTAGTGCCTGTTTGAATGGATATTTATACATACAATCAGAAGGAGATAGCTGGGTGTTTGGTGGGCTTCCCGACGGAGAGGCTTGACCCTCAGCAGGGCTGTCTTTGGGTGCAATACTCAGGCCTGCACTCACTGCCTCATATGATGCACTCAGACGTGTATTAGGGTCTCGTTTGGGTTTGGGAGGAGGTTGTTTTCGTGGAGAGGAAAGGCTTCCTCCATTGCCTTCATCAGTGGAATGTGGTGTAGGCTGAAGGGCTGCTTTGATTGATGCCCCAATGCTGGAGTGTACCAAGCTGTCCATTACCAGGGGTAGAGGCACAGAGCTGGAGCGAAAATGCCGAATTGGTCGGTTCCCCCCACGGTTGGCCACATCATTACCTCTCCCACTTTTTTCAACAACCCTAAACAAAAGAATGAACAATTACACACATTTAAATGGAACATGATTTGTCTAGTGCCATTTTTGCCATTGATCTTGATTGGTATTATTCTGGTGTCTTCTACCATTTCCCAAAAGTAGCAAGTCATTAATCAGTCATATGCTCATATTTTTAAATATTCACTGACTATGAGGCTAGAAGCACATGTGCCCTCTTAAAGCATGATGGGCAGTGAAGGTGCTAAGCGACTGCCAAATGTGAGAAGATTAGTCTCAGCCATGATAAAATCAATACACCAATGTCAAGCTGTCTATTGATATCCGCGCCGAGATTTCATCGTACTACACTAACTGGAATGGGTGTTTCCTTAACAATGAAGATAACATAAAAAACAATAACTGGGTTGTCAAGCAAGTACACATTCTTAAAACATCAATCACAGAATAATCAAATTAATTTATAAAAACAAGGAAACTAACTTTTCAGAATACCCTAATTTTAAATTCACCTCAAAATTAAAATGAATCAACTTCATGTTGTTCCAAACGCTTGAGACCTTTGTTCATCCTCGAAACATAAAGATATTTGAAGTGAAACTTAAACGTCATTGCATGTAAACACAAGCAATATACTGACACTGAAACAAAAACAATTAAATCGAGTCATTATTTTGGTTTAATGTGTTGTTGGATAATAGGAATCATTTTTAAATAATTTTTGTCTCTTTTTCTTTTAATCAAACAATTATTTGTATTGGTCATGTAAGGGTCATATATTAACTGAACTTCTAATGTTGTGGGTGAGTGCTGTGCATACTAATTAGCATTTTTGCAGAAGTAGATAGATGCGGGTCCAAAATTAAATTCAGCTCTGCAGAAACTTCCTGTCTGAAAAGAGGTGTTAAAACTGAACACTGAACACAGAAAGTTGTATGTTTTTTTGTTGTGCAGAGAATTCGTAGAAAAAGAGGAAGTATGTCGAAGGTGCGGCCAATGGAGGACTGAACAATGACTGACAAATGACGTTACACCAAAACTCCACCTGTTAATATCAGTTGTGTATATATGCTAGAGTAAGGAAATGTATGTTAGTTGCAAACCTCTTGAATGTAATTCTTGTATTGCATTGGGGTAATGTAACCCAGAGCTCTGTCATCGAATTATTCATTTGTATCTAATAAATTACTAATATTTTTGGCATTGAAGAAAACCCTCTCCAGGCCTTTTCTTATTGAACACGCATGGAATTGGCTAGATATTCCAACAGTGTGCAAAAGTATCCTTGTATCTTGGTAATATTCCAATTAAGGCAAATGTTTTTTCTTTTTTTTTTTGAGGATGGTTTTTGGACTTTAATTGAGTCTAGAACCTGTCTATGGAAAATGCATTCATTTTATTTGGATTCTGAAGCAAACAAAGGTCTCGGGGGTTGAAATCATTATTTTTTTTAGGTAAACTAACCGTTTAAAGACTTTTTTTTAATCCTCATGATACCAAAGGGTAATACAAATTAGCATTACATTAATGGATATCAATTGGATAACACAGAAACCAAAGCCCCAAACGATTATTTACATTGTTGATTGTTTAAATCTAAGCTGCTTCCTGTAATACTGTAATTTGACACACACACTCTTATTTGATATTTCCTTTTTAATCTGGGTCTACCATCTGTTGTTCTTGGAGAAAAAGCATTAGTGTGTTGGGGTGGATGGTGTTCGGGGAACAGGGGGTGGTAGGGGGTTACAGTGACTTAAAACCCTAAGGAGATTTCAGTAACCCGGAGTGGGGGGGTGGGTCTTATCTCTCTCTCTGATTAGCAGCATGGAGCTCCTCTTGACTCGCTGATTGAGTTTGCCACATCTAGATTAGCTATGAAACCCCCATCACTCAGTCACCTGGCACCTCCCTCATTTGTGATGCTAAAAGTGAATGTATGTGATGAATGTGCGTGTTTTGAAAAACAAGAAGCCAACCCCCTTCATAAGAGCAGATGGTCATATAGCACTCGATGGGAACACTAATACATGCATGTATGTTCATTGCATTCTTCTGTGAAACAACAAAACAAATAGCTTTATGTTCAGCTACGCTTTCCACTGATATCAATACAACAGCTATTAATGCTTATACATAAGCCAATCTAAACTGTGCATGGTTGAATGGGTAATAGGAAGATATATTAGTATGATATATATATATATTTTTTTTTTTTTTTTATTTATTATTATTTTTTTTGTCATTAAAACAAAAATGTCTTTAAATATAGTGCTTGAGATTTTCTTTGTTGATTTTTGGTACCTTTTGCCACTACTTCCTGCTAAACACAGATGAAGCCCTCCTGTAAAATTTGTATTGTTTTTTTTTACATATTTCCAAAGTGACAAGATTTTTTCAACCTATTTACAAACATTTGGGTTGTCGCAATACTGGAATTCAGTATCAATCGGTACTGAAATTTTAAAACCGTCCAATTCCTGCGAACATTTGGGCTTGTTCTTAAACAGAGCTGATTTGCCATTATATTCACATGCTCAACAGAAATGATTGTAATTGGTTGGGAAGGTCATTGATTCACTAAAATCGCTCCTGTTTACCAAGTGTAACCACAGATACAGGGACACTGGAGCGTTTCAAAGTCATGTTGATCAGCTGGATTGTCTATAAGCTGACATACAAGTGATCCACTGATGAATCGCGCCTTTAAAATGCCCCAGTGTCCCTGTATCAGTGTTTACACTCAGTAAACAGCAATGAGTTTGGTGAACCAATGACCTTCACGGCCAATCACGGTCACATCTGTTGAGCACATGAACACAATGGCATATCAGCGCTAAAAGCGTTAAAATGTTTGGGGGAAATGGAAATGTTTTTTACAATTTCAGTATCGATTAGTACCGAATTCCAGTATCGTGACAACCCTAAACATAATAATTTTTATAACTAATATATTTTGTCTTTGCCATGATGACAGAACATCACATATTTCTAGTTACTTTGTAAGATACTAGTATTGAACTTGCAATTCAAAGGCTTAACTACGTCAATTAGGCAAGTCATTGTACAACAGTGTTTTTTTTAAGCCTATTAAAAAAAAAGAATATAAATTTTTTAAGGGGGATAATAATATTGACCTTAAAATGCATCAACTAAAACAAATAATACTTTCTCCAAAATCATATTCCATCACTTGGCAAATAAAGTAAAAAAACAAAACAAAAAAAAACAATACAAATTTCACAGGAGGGCAACATTTTTCCCCCTTTTTTGTTTACAGTATATACACACTGTGATTATGAGTTCAGTTTTGGATACTGATTATCAAAGAAAAAAAAATATCAAGGTAATTTGTAGTAAGTTAGTAGGTTATTTTGGTTAAGGTAATTTTGTGGGTAAGTTGTTTTGCTTTTCTTTATCTCAATGCAAACTGCTCTACAACTCAGACATCAGTCTTTCCTTTTGCTAAAATCCCACAAAGTTTCAAAGAGTGCAAACGCTTCTCACATCAGTGACAAATGAAGGCTCACTCTGTTCCTGTTTTATTTGCAAGAGGAGAACAAGCAGAACCAATAAAATCTCCCATGAATTTTTATAGGTTCCACGAACCCGAGTTGAAGATGGCACATTTTGCAGTGTATAATATAATCAGGCACTCCAATATAATTTAGACTGTTAGTGTGTCTAATATAATCCTTCAAGAGGAAGTTTCACAGTAGCGCAGACAGATCTGAGCTGCCAAATCAGATTCAATTTCAGCAGACAAAAGATGTCAATCCCCTAAGGAACACCAATATGAATTTGATTATTTTTTTGATATGTTTTATTACAATATCTGCTTAAACAGTAGAGACAGGAGCCCTTTACATAAACAATCTTATTACCTCATATGTAGCTCCACTACCTGCTTTTAATATTGCATTAAATTGTGATGTTTATATAGAAACTCATGTTGACTATTCTAAAGAGATCATTAAATCCTCGTTCAGAATTACACTGTTAGCTGGATGTAGGGTAATGTAGGGATTTGTAAAAGACAAATGTGTTATCACAGCAATTGATAGCCGAGGCACTTCTGTAGTAGGTACTGGAGTTACTAGTAATGGGTATCATTAAGATTTTAATGGTATAACTACTTTTATTGATACCAATTATCGGTTTGGTACTTTAACGGTACTCTTATCTGTATACTTTTGTGTAGCTTTTTTAAATGAAAAAATAAAACCCAAAAAACTAATTGAACAGAAATAACAACATTTTATTTTATAACTTTTTAAATGTGAAATTAAATAAACAATTTACTGAAAAAGAATGTGCAAAGGTTTGAAGTAGCATAGTAAGAACATGTAGGTTAGGCTGCAAATGACAAGGTTTTAACCATTCTTCTGGGGAAAAATCAACATGTTTGCCTTTTCTGGCAGAAGTCGGAAGCTTTCTTGGCTTCTTTTGCTCCCATCAGTTGAAAATACCCTCTTTGAGTTGCAAAATGCAGTTAAACAATCCACTGTGGCTAATGCTTTTGATTTATCATTAACATATTCACATAAATAAGTTAACGGTGTTTGTAATTAAATTAATACCATTTTGGAGATGAAAATAAGATGTTTTTTTATTATTATTTCTTTATAATTTTTTAATAAGCATAGTTTAGAATTATTCATCTATTTGTAAATACAGTGATGTAAATACATTTTTAATGTTTAGGAAAAAAAAATATATATATATATATATATATTTTTTTTTTTCAATGTAACTGAATGTGTTTACTATATTATTAACATTTTACTAATTTAAAGAGACCTTATATGACTGACTGCTAGCACATAGTGTCTACTCGGGTGAAATACAACCATACTCTCGACCGTTTGGTTCTCTCCACCATTTATTTAGTGCAAGTGTATGGGTTGAATATCAAAAATTGCAAATTAGAAATTGTTGGTCAGTTAAATTATGCTACTGTAGATAATGTTTATGTAGCAATAATTCTCCAGTACCAATAGCAGAACCGTTAATGTCTTTTATAGTTTAGCACCGATATTGATAAAGTACTGAGTTTCAGTATCCATCCCTAGGAGTTACCATGTAAACTATAATCAGACAATTACTGAGACTAGGGATGTAACCATTTACCTGACTCACGATATGATTAACGATCTTAAACGTACGATACAATTTAGTCACAATTTTTTTGAACAAAGTTATTTGAAACAACTTTAAGGTGAAGAGCCCTTTCATCTTTTTCTTTAAGGCTGCACACTTTTTGCAAAATAATATGTTTTCTGCTGTAACTAAATGCTATTTTACAAAAAAAAAAAAAAAAAAGAATAATAAAAACTAAAGAAGAAACTAAACAAACTAAAACTGTGACTGTGCTGAGATTTACCATTTTTAAAAAGAAATATCAGCTTATTTGCACATTTCCAATGTCCCCTGCTGATGAGAAAACTCTTTTACTGGGGCTGAGAGGGCTGGTGTGAAGAAGAACGCCTTTCCTAAACCAGAGAGCAGTGTGTACAGAGGTGGCCAATAAGCCCTCTGATCCAGGGAACTTACCACTGGCATAAAAAAACCAACAACAAAAAAACAAAAACAAATATATGATATATATATATATATATATATATATATATATATATATATATATATATATACTTAAGAAGAGATAACCTTGAAAATTTTTAAATATTCAATAATAATGAGCAAATTATTACAAATATGCATACACTAATTTGAAGACAGGGTCAAAATAATGTAATATCTGCTTCTGTAATGATCAACTTTCTCTTTCAGTCTGAAAACATCTTCACACTTTCGCTATGAAAACACTGATGCACCAGTGATCTCGGTAGCACTAGTCAGAGCAAGCGGAGCTGCAAATCCTCCGGTCCACATGGTTTGGATAATAAATATTTTATTTTTTGCATATAGATGTCTGTGCCAGTAGTTTATCACTATACTGATGGTTTATGTGAATCATATTTGTTGTTCTGTTAGTGTAAGTAAGCGTCTTTTTTGCAGTATTTGCAGACAGTTCGTGTTTTGTCTGGCACACTTCACCACGGTCATTTTACTCTGCCGTCTCACCTTTTGCTCACCGCTGATGTGTAGGTAAAGCGAGCTTGCGCCTGTAAACACAGCGCCCCTCACTTTAAAACATGTATCGCGATTCGTTCAACATTTCTACCGGTTTGAATCATCACATATTTGAATGGATTTTCAACCAGCTCACGGTGAATTGTTACATCCATAATCGAAATCTTTATAATTTATAAATAATAAAAATAATATGCATATGACAAAATGCATATTGTATACATTGCACGATGACTGACTGTAGTCTGGCATATTTGGTAGCTATGACATGTCAGGAGAGCATCTAAACAAAATAGCTTAATATGACACACTGATTGTCTTAACCGACAATAAAAATTGTGTAATGTGAACGGGGCCTAATAAAGACTACTTTTTTTGTTTTGTTTTTTTAATCCTGTGAGTTGAGTATTTACCTTTTAGGCGAATCTTCTTCTTTGCCCACAGGTTCTGGTCGCTCTCCCAGTGGTGGAGCACTGATGTGACCCCGCAGGCGGTCGTTCTCTCTAGCAATATCGGCTGCGTTTTGAATGACCAGGTTGTCATAAGTGCGCAAACCCAAGTCCTCAGCTCCTTGCAGGAACCGCTGGACATTGCAGAGCTCCTGTTTCCTAGAAGTGAGCCTGCGACGCACCTGCTGTCTGGCCAACCAGCCACGCATTACTGAAACACACATACAGATGATGAAGTCAAAATATGAGGCCGCTGACAGATCATAAAGGATGAGCACATAATCTCTGCTGTTCATTTTACCTTTCTGACAGATAATAATCTTCCTGTGCAGTTGATGGCAGCGGTCATTAAGGTGATCGGCCTGCCAGTATCTCAAGAAAACCTTACTGTTGCCCATCTGCGCAAGAGAAGAAAAGAGGTAATCGCACATTTTGGGTTTACTGGCTATATACATGAATGAGAATATAGCCTTTTTTCTGCTTGTTCAGTTTACATAATTGTTTAAATACATTTAAGATACATTTTGAAAAAAGTCCAGAGCTGTTTGTATTTATTGTTCAGACATATTAACCCTTATGTGCTGTTAGGGAAATTTTCATGCACTTTTTATTTGGCCATAACTTTTTCTGTTTTAGCTAGCGGAATAGTTTTTAGTGACAAAAAAAAAAAAAAAAACTTAACAATACACTGTGGGAAAATTTACTACCTTTTGCTATTATGGATGAAAACAATAATCAAATAAATTGCAGAAAAAATGCATCAGATTCACACACACACACACACACACACACACACACACACACACACACACACACACACACACACACACACACACATATATATATATATATATATATATATATATATATAAATATATAAATCACTGGCTTGGGAAAAAAAAATTTTTTTCGAAAAGATTAAATAAAAGCAGTTAAATGTAGCATTTTTACACCGGTTAAATTTAGTGGATGTTTTCATCCTGAACAAAACAAAAGGTAGCAAATTTGAACAGTGCACAAGGGTTAAAGACATTGGGTTGTAACCACTGTGCTGAAAGGTGGAGCTTATAGCAGCAGGTTGTAGAATGTATATGATTATAGTGTTTGGTCATTCATTAAACATAACTGATAATGTCAGCACTGTCGCATGCAGTGACTATTTAAAAAAAATAAATAAATAAATAAATGTAATAAAAAAATAGTTTTAAGTTGATTTTACATTTTACTGTTAAAATTTGAGTAAAAACTTAACTAAACAGAGAAAAACTTACTTTCCCCCTGTCTGTTTAGTGTAGACAACTAAGGCAGTGTTTGCTATGAATTCTTGTAAGTAACTTATTCAAAACACTGTACACAGGCAGCACACTACTGCAGAGTCTCTACTTCAGTTGAGTTTAATACTTTGACTGGAGATTGTTACTGAGCTAAAGCACAGAAAACACAAATAATCACTAAACACAAATAATCACTAGTAATCATAATGTTGATTTACAAAAATCAAGCATCAATATAGCTCTTCTTTGGCATTTTGGATTTGATGTTTCTGTAATACACATAGATTCATCTGTATACATCATTAGTTTGGCTGCTATATGCAAGACTTCTGCAATATTGAAATGGTCAAAGCTGGTCCGAAAGCAAGTTTACTTTGTGTCTGCAACCTATATTTCAGCAAATAATATTGTCAATGTAAAATAACACAGGTTTTTAACAGGTTATTTGAAAACCTGTAATAATAAATTAAAATACAAACTTTAACACTTGTGAAATGTTATCTCATTTGTCCAGGGATTCAGATGACATTGTTGACATGTCCGTTACATACATATCTATGGCAATACAAAATTTTCCTTTTCTATAAATAATGAATCTGATGTTGTCTTCCATTTTGCTCCAAATTAGGCATTTAAAGTAAGGTAGATAAGAGTTAAAGCTGCACTAGTTGATTTTTGCAAAACATTGTTGAAGTTTGAATGCACCAAAACAACTGGCCCATAACAACCCAACATAACCTCACCAATTTTTGACATCTCTGCTACCATTACTAGACAAGCTCTTTTCTGTTGATAAGCTGCAAGTGCTTTGGGTCTGACACTGCCATGTCTATGGTAGGGCTGGGATTATAATCAATGCTTTGGGAATAGAAAAAAATCATTTAGAACCTGAATGGATTGTGATACTAACTTCTCTTACTATCCTTCGGCTTAGACCCTGATTTATCAGGGATCGGCACAGTAAAATGAACCACCAATTACTCTGGCAGATGCTTTTGAAATCCAAATCCTCTAAAGGATTGTTAGTCTACATTATTTAGGGCAACTGAGCTGGGAACACTTCCCAAAAGACATAAAAGTTTGACCCTGGTTTCTCTCTTGGCTTTTTTTCCCTTCACTTTCGTCAATTGGTGATGTTTGTTCCTCGCTGCTATCGCCACTGGCTTGTATGGTTCGGGATTTGTAGAGCTGCACATGGATGGATTTGCTCTTTAGTGTTTAAACTCAGCAGTGAAAATTAAACCACACTGAACTGAACTAAACTGAACTTCAACACTGAAAACTGAACTGACACAGTTTCAATTAACTATAATCTTTTATGTGAAGATGCTTTGACACAATCTACATTATAAAAGCACTACAGAAATTAAGATGAATTGAATGGAATTGAATTGGCTGTTTTATGCAGCGGATGCCCTTCTAACCACATTCCTGAATTGCAATTCTCTTTAGAATCAATGAGCTTAGTTTTTACCACCAGATAGCCTAGTGGGCTTTAGAAACAGCCATACTCCTACATTTCAAAGGTATGTGTAAGGTTAAGCAAACAATGAATGCTTAAATGAATTGCAAGAGTCTTCACAGTGAGCTATTTACATTAATCCAGTGACACAAAAGCCATGGTGGAAGTACATGACCGAAGAGCACAAGTGCTCTTTCTTGATTCTCCCTAAGAGTGTAAGAATAAAAACTAGTCTAGATCTCCATCTGCTGTTAAAAATTAAGCTCAGAATCAATTCCAGAGGGAATCGGTGCATTCTAAAAATGTATGGATCAATCGGTGAATCACAAAACATTGATTTATCCTCCCAGCCCTAGTCCATGGTGTCTTCAAATCCCATAATCACCACAGGTTTCCAACAAGTCTTGGAACAGAGCATCTCTATCCCATATGAGTTCTCCCCACAGTAGACATGTTTGTTAACTCACCTGCCATCCCTGGAGTTTACAATGCAGCAGAATGTGCCGGCACTTCTCCTCTGTGGTTGCTTTCTTCCTGTCAGTGATGATGGTGTCCACCAGCTCTCTGTACCTGCACCACAAACCCACAGAGCATTACAATCATCTACAGACCCAACAGCTGAGGAATTCTTTGACCCCATTACTGCTGTACAACTACATGATGCTCACCATTACCTTTACTGGAATGCCCAATACATGAACCACAAAGGACTACTTGCTTCCTGTTGGCCTATTTAATATGGCCATTTCCAAATGCAATAACCATCTAAGGCTACTGAATATGAGCTACGAAAGACAACGCTCAATCAATTCCCCTCCCTCGGTGCATGGGAAAACCAAATGGTAGTTTGCAGTTTTTGCGGGTCAAAGGGTTTGAGAGTAAAGATGGCTTCTCGGCATCTGCTGCGGCGGCTGTTGGCACGGCAACCATTCACAGCGAAAGGTCAAACTTTGAGGGCTTTGTGGCATTGTTCTGGAGTGGAGGGATCAAGCATGTGTGGCGTGCAGGGGTAAGCTCCAGACACACCCCTCAAACACGTGTGTGTGTGTGTGTATATGTGTGTGTGTGTTTGTGCATTTGGATTATGCATTAGGAACATCTGGCACAAGGGAATTGTGTTTAATAACCAACGATACTAAAGGAATTCAAAGAACTAGAGCATGTGTGATGCATGCCAATAACATTTCAGGATAAAACTGCAATGTTGTGTTCAGAACATGCATGTGCATTTAGAGTTTATTATTAATGTCCAGGATATTCTAGCTCCAACACACTTGGATCTGAAAAGCATGATCTAAGAATGATGAATTAAGCTTGGTGGAAACAATGTATTGGAAGTAATAGGTAATAAAGAAAGTGCTTGTTTTTGCTAAAAATGTGTCCTAAACCGAGCACATATTTTAAATAAACTATTGACCAATAGATTGTTTGGCAGATCCTTTCTATTAAGTGGTAGTGGGACAGAAAGCATTGAAAATAGAGAAGCTGCCCCACAGGATGTCTGCTCCATCTCTACCCATACAGGTTTATTCTTCTGACTGATAGTAATACATAAAGTTGGGCAGCGCCAATCCCCCAACTTTTGTTGCCTTTCTAAAAACGCTTTCCTAATTCTTGGAATGCTTTTATTCCATATAAAGTGAAGACTGTGATTAGCCAGTTCAAGTGTTTAATTACAGTACATTTGGGGATGCATTAGAAGTCAGCTGTCTTCATGTCATAGTAAAATGCAATCACATCCTCATACAGATGATAATTACAATTTGGAACCAGTATTTTTAGATTCCATTTAGGCACCATGTTGAGGGCTGCTCGAATATCAAAATCATGATCAGGATTATTTTGGTCATTATTGAAATTATGATAATAATGATTATTCTGACTAATAAAGAACATTTACTGGACAAAATGGAATTATCCACAAAATACAACATATTCAAATGTATAAACAGCTGTAAATTAAACCAAAAATTATCTTCCACAATATCTTAAACACAAATAATAAATAAAATAGAAATATCCAACAAAAAAAAAGAGAGAGAGAGAATATAATTAAGTTTGCTCACGTATGTGCCATAACAAATTGAAAAGTACTAATACCTTTTTCAAGCAGGATGAATTGGTAGTTACACACCCAGAGGTGATCGAAAAAGCATTCAGTCGGATTGCTGTTGAAGTGTAGCCATGAAAACCACCTTCTCTCTGCCTGCTGAGTTCATTCATAAACTGAGTGGGAATGATTGGAGAAACCCTATCCACATGCCACAGACCCCCCTCATTAGAGGAATGGACAAAAGAGACACATTTGAAAAGCAGGTGTCAAAGGGAATATGTCTCCTTGTTTACTTGCAATCCGATCGACTAATCAAATCTGTAAAAAGGGCTGTTCTCTAACAAGGGGGTTTGCTTCAACCACTTTTGTTAGGCTTTTGTTTTTGCTCCTCACTCACTGATGTTTGAATGCCACCAGAGAGTCTACAGACACATTTTGTATTGCTAATAGTATAGGGAGAGAGAGTTCAGGCATCAGGAAGGGGAAAAGTGTACATCATTCAGAACACAGGCAAAAATAACTTGGCATTATATAACTGATTACACAGCTTCGGTTTTGAGCAATGGGACTTAAAGACAAAGCCTGAATATTTGCGAAGCCTTAATGTTTAGGCGTTGATTGTGTAGCCACAGAAATGAGTAATGTGTGATGTGTTAATAGCTTCAAGTCATATTTTAACGTTTGTGAATGAAATTACTGTAATTATACATTATGCTGAACACACCTAGTGGCCCTTCAGAAACAGGTTTATATAACCCTTATTCTAGAGAATAACAAAGGCCTTCATTTGCAAACTTGATGGAAACTTGTTTGAGTGCTCAGTGCTCGTAAATGTGTGAAATATACTGACTCCAACAAACTGTCCTTATTTTTATGTGCACACAAATGTATTTATGTAGATTTAAATTGTAATCACAATTTGAAATGTTGCGATTAGTAAATCAAAAAAGGCTGGCATTTAAATATATAAATTTAACACAAATATGCACCCAAGATAAGTGCCTGATAGAGTCTGACTGTGAAAACTGTATGAGAGGATGATCACTTGTGCCAAAGCTGTTGTAATGCGCACGACTGTTTAAAACGCGTGCGCGCTCCCTTTTTCTTGCGTGAAAATTGTGACTGGAAACGCAACTATAGCCACAGTGGCTGGTCAGGTCCTGATGATGATGATGATGATTATTATTATTACAGTGAAATAGTTCATTAAATATGACAGGGCGAGGTGATCTTGTGTTGCGGACTCGGTGCAACAGAGGCAAGAACTGTGACACCGCGACTTAATGGTATTACTGTAGTAGAATATAGCCTAAGGTGGATATATATAGCATTTTGCGGGGAAAGAAAAAAAAAAAAAAAAAAAATATATATATATATATATATATATATATAATGTTATGCGCGTTCTGACCACAACTAACTCAGAATCTTATTATTAATCAATCTTTGTATATACTATTTTATATATTTATGATATATTGTTTTTTTTTACCAATTTAAGATGTTTGGCAGTGGTAAGATAAATACCTTGCAATATGGCATGGTTTTTGACTTATTTATGAACTATTTGGGAACAAAGTTAAATAAAAAATATCCTGGATTTATACTGGAGAGTGTTCCTGGCCTTCACTGAGCTCAAGTAATAGTTTAATGTATAAAAAGCGTGAATAAACTGACTGTTGATGTCTTAAATAATAATGTCAAATAACCAACATTTCTCAAAATGGATACATCTCGTTTTGCAACAAAACTCTTCATATATATGTTGTCATGTCTTTTGGAAGCCCAGAAAGAAACAGAAGAAGCTCTATGAACACAGCAGCGTTTGAAAACCATTTTAGCTTCCATTGCTATAACATTACTGTGCATCTGGCCACACCCCTTCACTGCGCAGGTTGTATGCACGTAACCTGAAGGGTTTGTGACTTCATAAACCTGGATGCATTTTTATAGTCCCCAAACGTCATTCGCTGTAGGCTTTGCTAAGCTAACTCTAAAAGCCAATGTTTCACTTTGCATTGTACTTTGAGCATATTACATTCAGAGATGTTGTGTATGTCCACACAGCAACATTACACATTAACTAAAGTTTAAAATATGATACCCTTTAATGCACACGGTATATACTTCCACATCTATAGACAGTTAATAAATATTGATGGTTACACCTTACACTTATGCCTAGTTCAGACTGCGTGATTTTAGCCCCGATTTTGGCTCGCCGACAGGTTTTGAGAAATCGCCGGCAAATGCCTGAAATCACAGGCAAATCGGTGCTCGTGCACGTGAGTGACAATCACACAGTATGAACTTTCAAAGACGCAATCTGAGAGAATCGCCGATGAGTCGCCGATGCCTGTGAGATATTTGGCGTGCTGAATATCTGGAGCTGTCGGCGATTTAAATCATGCTGTGTGAATTGAGTTTTGACTGAAAATAACATCAGCAATCGCCTACAGCCAATGAGAGAGCAGCATTCACTTGTGTACACGTGTGTGTATACCTGCTGCAGGCCAGCAGGAGGCTGGGGAGAAGTTAAAAGCGCTCTTTTTTGGTTTATTTGGACCCACAAAATGGAGAAAAAACTAGTGGAGGTTTGACAGGACTCAGGAGCAACCGTGAGGAGAAATGGCTAATTCCCTTTAAACCCAGGTGAGCAAACATGTACATGTTCTACCCCATTAATGGCTTCTTTCTCATTATGTAGTTAATAACAAAAGATATACGACGTGTTTTTGGCTGTGAGATGTAGTTTGGACGAAGTTGTCGGCGATTCTTCCTATAGTAAAGTCATGCAATGTGAAAGTCCCTGTCGCCGATCCATCATGCAGTGTAAACAAAGCAGCGATGAAATGCTAGCCCAGATAGTCATGCAGTGTGAAAACATCTGTGACATGACTACTTTGAAAATCCTGCAGTCTGAACACGGCATTAGTTCACATTTAGTTAATTAGAACTAATAACAAAAAATACTTGTACATTTATTATGATTTAATACTGCTAACTTTAGTTAATGCAAGCATTAACAAAGAATCATTTTATTTTATTTAACTAATGACAACAAAGATGAATATATACAGCACTGCTGTATCTTATGTACACTCTCTTATATCAAATGGTAGGAAATCATCATGTTAAATTGCAATTTGATTTTTTTTTCTCCAAATCGTGTAGCTCTAGCTACTGTAACATGGCGAAAACTGCATTATTACAGCTCGCATACTCTAGTCAATTGGTGAACAGATGGGAGGGTGGGAGAATTTAGGGATGCAGTGCATTGTGAGACTGTGGCGTTCCATTGGCTCAGTAAAACACTGCCTAAAGCCTTAAGCCAAATTAACTCAGCATACCCCTTTCGATGTGATTTAAAGCAGCCTGGCACTTCTGAACTTCCCTTAACCTTCCTCTGCATGACCAAGACCTACAGCTTCCCAAAGGAGCCATCAACCATGAAGCGAACCAGGGGAAACCAAAGACCTCGTGTATATGAATATGAAAATTATCGATGCCCTCACGC